CATTCTAACTGGAGTGAGATGAAATCTTAGTTTTGATTTATGTGCAGTTTTTTAAAGAGAAATAATTTTTTATTTTTCAAGTGTAGAGGGTAGAAGAGACATTTTCAGATACATACTTTATTTCCATTATGCATTTTTAAGGAAACCACTAGATTTGTGCTTCACCAAATCAAGGGAATAATGAACCAAGGAAAGAGTAAGATATTATAAGAAAAGGCAATCCAGTCCAAGAGCGATTAAGGAAAACCCCAGTGTCGTAGTAAAGGGAGAGTCCAGGATGATAGTTATGCAGCATGTTGAAGAGCAGCATCATTTAGATTGAAGCCAGTCTGAAGTCTCCAAGAATTTTCTCGAAGAAGAGGAAATTCATATAGTGCTGAATCTATTTGCATATATTGTGGGGTTATTTTAAACAGTTGGCATAGAATTAAAGAATAAATTGTTGATAAATATATTGTATAGTAAAAACAAAAAACTAGCGAAAAATAAAACAAAAAGCTATGCAGGAAATAAAAAGTAAATCTAGTATTCTATATGACTCATTTGTTAATAGCATTTATGGTTGTAAACTCTGAGTTCATGATCTGCCAAAAATTAAGGTGTTATATAAGACCAAATCTATATTGATCTATGACTGTATCAAAAAGATGGTGGGAAGGGGCAGGAAGAATAACTGTAGCAGGGGGCTAAATTTCATTTTTCGTAGTGAGGAATCAGTAGATATAATGCCAAAAAAACTGAAAAATTTAGTAGCAATATCCCACCCACATCTGGCACAGGCAGTTGGATCCGAGTTCCTCCACGTGGAGTGAACTGGCTGCAAAATAAGGCTGAGAAAAAGAAGGTGACGAAAAGACCACAAGACAGGGAAGTAACTTTGAAAAGCAAGGGTAGGACAGCTCTGTCATTAGGGGTCCACCTTCCACAATGGAAAAAAAGAGTGGGAGCCCAAGTTTGGTTTATTTATACAAAGGAACTTCAAAGGTGTTCTACAGAATGTTCTTTGCCAAATAAGGCAGGAGGTGGGCTGTCCCATTGGTAGAGCAGGGGCAGAGATCTCACGCCTTGGGCATTCTACACATGGGAATGCCAGGGATCGTCCCCAAGGGGAGACCTAAGTCCCCCATGGCTCAGTACCCAGTAAAAGACCACTCAAGTAGCTTCACAGGTGGTGCACCACAGTGATATATTTTGAAAGGATATTAGAGGTAAAACCCAAAATATCAACTATAGGAGATGAGAATAGTTGTGTCTCTTTGGAAAGTAGGAAATGACTATGGACTTATGGCAAAGCAGAGATTGCTAGTTGTTGGTTTTTTATTTGGTTTGATTTGTTTTTGCGTGCCTTCCACAAGAACTAACTTGAACTAAGAACTCTTAGTCCTTAAACCATGTGCATATATCATATCACCTTGGTACAAATAATGGCTAAGTAAGTACATTTGATCATTGGTTATGCCCAGTATGCATGTATCTATTATATACTGGAGGTAATGAGGGAAGAGGAATCGTGTACGAAGCACAACATACAATTTGTCTTTTAGGTGACACAGGACAGTACTGTCTCCATCAGAAGTTCACAAGACTACCCTGATTGGTGATTTGCTAGAAGCACTAATAGGACTCAGCACATACTGCTACTCAGGAAAGATTAATACAGCAAAAGGATTCAAAGCAAAATCAGCAAAGGAAGAAAAGCTGCACAAATGAAATGCAGAGGAAAGCAAGCACAGGATTGAGAGTCCTCTGCTGTTGGAGTCCCATAGGACATGCTTACTTCCTCTAGCAGCGAGATGGCAACAGTACCTGTGAAGTAGTGTCAGCACCGAAAGTTTATTAGGGATTCTGTCTGGGTTTCTTTTATTAGGGCTGATTAAGTAGGCAACCCTCAGCCTGGTGTTTGCCAAATTCCCAGAAGGAAAAGTGTTCAGCATAGTTGAATTATTTATATAAATAGTTTATGTACAACAAGCCACTCTTATTTGGGGAATGTTTTATATTACTGTAGGGACTATTATCAGATGCCATTCCAAGACCAACTTTGCAAACAGACCTTTCTAAGGGTAGCAGGCTCATTCTTATGCTCTTTTCTGCATACTGTCCTCCACTAATTTATCCTCTGAGGTCATATGTGTTTTCCTTTTTAAGTGTTTTTTAGTTGTCAGTGGACTTTTATTTTGTTTATTTATATGTGGTGCTGAGAATTGAACCCAGTGCCTCACTCACGCTAGGCAAGCACTATACCACTGAGCCACAATCCCAACTTGAGTTTTTCCCTTTTTATTGCAGTTTTAACTTAGTGTGAAGGAAGACAAGAGTGAAGAAAAGTGATTCTAAAATAACTCTGAATAGCAGCAGAGAGATCAGGGAGAATACCATATATTTTAGTCTTAAGAGTAGTTTTGAGAATGATGGAAAATAACAGTCATAAAAATAAGCATCTTGCGTCAGTCACTGCCTTCTTTATTTACTTTGAAATGGACTAAGTTTTTCAGGCATACAAAATGGCTGATGCTACCATCTCTTCAGAAATCAAATTATAATCTTTCTTTAACTTATGCCATTTACTGGAAATATTACTGTTTTGCTTGTTTCCAGGTACCAGACAGTGGAATTAGTGCTGAGGCTATTTCAGCACATGCTGAAATGGCTGCTTTTCTTCCTCCCTCCCTCCCTCCCTTCCTTCCTGGCACTGGGGGATTAGACCAAAGTGTGGTCTACCACTGAGCCACATCCCTAACCCTTTTAAATTTTATAAATTTTGAGACAGGATCTTACTAAGTTGCTGAGGCGGGCTCTGAACTTGGCATTTTCCTGCCTCAGCCTCCCAAGTAGCTGGGATTACAGCTGTGTGCTGCAGCACTCCTGCTTCTGTGTTATCCCTGAACATTGTTAAGAAATTATCCTATAAATTGTAGAGGCAAGTTTCTCTTCTGGGATGTACTGCAGGCAATGATATTGTCTTTTAGTTGACAGTACAGGGTCTGTTGGTCTCTTATTTATTTATTTATTTATTTTTATGTGATGCTGAGGATTGAACCCAGCGCCTCGCATGTACTAGGTAAGCACTCTACTGCTGAGCCACAACCCCAGCCCTGCTTAAAACTTTTAAATGATTTTATTTCATAAATTTTATTTTGAATTTTTATTGTGAATTTGCAAGGTCTTTCTTTTGCTTGTGGCTATCAAAATGAGATTTACTTGACTGAGTGCATGTGATCTAGCTATGTAGCTAGAAAACCCTATAATTCATGATTCAATTGGTATTTTTAGAATTTGATATATGTATGATTTGTAGGTTGGAAGGTTATAAGAATCAGTATTGCAGCATGCTATCATGAGTAATGTTCTGAAAGAAAAATTTTGTTTTTATAAGGCACCAGAGGGAAAATTTTTGATTGACTTAATCACTTTTAAGCATGACTGTTCTAGTTCATGGGTGTTTTCCCTCAACAAGTTTTATAGAACAGTTCTTTTTGTGTACTGGTGTATAGAATCACAGTCCAATTTTAAAAAGTTGATGAGATATAAATGTTTTCCGTTCTTCAGTAAACTAATCCATTCTGAAGCCAAATCAATTTCGAATTTTTATGAAATACAATATTTGTTCACTCTATCTAAAGTAAGAGTTGCTAATAAAAAATGGAAAAAAAGAATAAATATTGACTAATGTGATCTATCCAAGATTTCTCATTATTTATAAACGCTCTGTTTCACCTAAGCTGCATTCACTTAATCAGTTGAATTTTGAGTTTTTTTTTTAACCATATACTACATTCACATGTTTTTAAAAGTTTTAGTGGCTCATTCTTCACCCGTTTTCCTCTCTCTACCCATGTAGGATATCTGGATGTACCATAGTTGGTTTAATCAGCCCCTTTAGATAAGTACTTGAGTTACTTCTAGGTTTTTTTTTCTACTATGAAAAAAATATATAATATTTACATTATATATATGAAAAATATATAATATTTATATATAATACTTATATATATTTATATAATATAAAATATATTATTTATATTATATATAAGTAATATATAAAGCTATATATTATAATGTTGCCGTGAGTAGCTTTATATATTATTTCATATGTGTGTAGTTATAGAAAAATTTCCAGAAGTGGATGTTGAGTCCAGGTAGCTAAATTCACTTGTGGATCTTATAATATTTTTAACATCTGCTCACAACATGTGAGAAATCAGTTATCTCTGAATAGCAAGCAATATGTGGGAAACTTTTCTAAACCTCTGTTTATAACGAAATTAAAGCAGGTTTGTCCGAAGTCACATAACTAATTGATGTTGGGACTGGGTCAGGGACTTGGTTTGTGATTGAAAATTTAGTGCTCTAACAGATTGTACTAGATTACTGTATATGCTGTAAAATTAAAATTAAGACATCCTGTTAAAATGTAAAAGTTGTTAGTGGACAACTAATGGGGTTTTTTTGTTGTTTATTTTTTACTTGTTTTTGTCTATATTTTGTGATGGTGTTGGGAATTGAACCCAGGGCTTTGTACATGCTAGGCAAGTATTACCACCCCTGACAAAGAAGTATTTATTAAAGGAAACCCTGCCCATTCTGTTTACTGTATAAATTCCTGCATGTATTTTCTGAGTTTTGTGGTTACAGAATGAAAGGATGAACAAATGGAATTCTTTTCTTTACTCACATTTGTGTGAAATGGGGATGGAGAATATGAGTACACACTCACAGAGACTAGCCTGTGTAAGTGTCCTGGTTCTGGGCTTGTACAAGATTTTGACTTCTCTGCTTAGAGTCTGTTAACATCACATGTACTGACTGATTCTAATGGCCTAGTCTCCTCTTCTTCAACCTCTTTTTTTTGTTTGTTTTGTTTTGTATTTTAGCTCTCCATCATCAAAAGGCAAAGAATAAATGTTATGTATACTTGAGGATACTCTTAAGAAAGCAGCCTGTTTTATTTTAATTGAGATGTCGGGTTTCTTGATGAACAATTTTTCTCTGTTTTACAGTGGAAAATTGATGATAAGCCTGTAAAAATTGACAAATGGGATGGATCAGCTGTGAAAAACTCTTTGGATGATTCTGCCAAAAAGGTACTTTCTTGAGGGTCCATGAGCATGTATACAGATGACAGCCCATTTCCTGAAGATCTTTTTACTCTGTTAACTTGAAGTATCCTTAATTTTCAATGTTAGAAAATAAGGCATACAGCAGTTTCCAGAACTCTTACAGAATAATTGGGGATGGGGGTGTATGTTAAAATGTAAATGTTGGGGCTGGGGCTGGGGCTGTGTCTCAGTGCCTGGCATGTGTGAGGCACTGGGTTTGATTTTCAGCACCACATATAAATAAATAAATGTATGTAATGTCCATCAACAACTAAAAATTTTTTTTAAAATCTAAATGTTGGCTAGCTCAGAAAAGTTGGTAATTTATTGTTTTTGAGATTAATTCCCTTAGAGCACAAAAGATTGAGAGAAGATTGGTCATTTATCCATGGTTAGTCATTTCTCCATTTGAAAAGGGAAAAGAAAAGTTTTAACTGTATCCTATGGGGAAAGTTGAGGATTTAAAAAATATATATATTGTAAGGAGTTAATGGACTTTTTTCCTAGGATCCTTTATAAATGTCTTAAGTTGTCTTTGTTTAGAATGGTAAAATACCTGTTGGAGAGAACTTTTTGTTAATTCATATAATTTTTAACAACTTTTTCATAGAAATCAAGAATAAAAGCACATAGCATGAAGAAAACATTCCTGGTAGCTTGATTCCTTTTCTTCTCACTAGGTACTTCTGGAAAAGTACAAGTATGTGGAGAATTTTGGGCTAATTGACGGTCGCCTCACCATCTGTACCATCTCCTGTTTTTTTGCCATAGTGGCTTTGATTTGGGATTATATGCACCCCTTTCCAGAGTCCAAGCCAGTTTTAGCCCTGTGCGTCATATCATATCCTTTACTTATCAGGTTTGTTTTCTACTAACGGTCTTTACATATGGCTTTGTAACAGTCTTTACATATTACAGAGAGATATTCCTCTCTGTTCCCCATAAAAACTTTCCTTCTTGGTACCTGCTTATGTTAGAATTTAAAATAATAAGCTGTGGGCATTTAAATTTGTTTAGCGTCTTTGATATTTTAGGTTTAATATGTTGTTTTATCTGTAATTCATTTTAGTTATTAATGTAGAAATTCTTATAATTGTAATATAAGCACTTAATAGCAGTACATACAGGAGTAATGAGACCCAGCTTGTCTCACTTCTAGCCCAAAACTTTCCCCATTAGACTAGGCTGCTTTAAGCCACTTACACAGAATATTAGACAAGCATCAGAGTTTGAAGAGTCAGAAGTCAGGTTTCCTTGAAGTTGAGGGGCTGGACTGGGAGCTACTGACTATGGTATAAGCTTAACTTGTGTTACAGTAGAGTTAAGAACCTGGGGGAAACTGCAGAATATAATTTGAAATCTTATGTGTGTGAAATCTTGTGATAATAAGAAATTAAATTTTTGATACTGAATTTATCTCACTTATGGTTAATATTCAGAATTATGAAAATTAAATGAGAGATTTTATAATTGACTTGGTATGGAATACAGATAGTTGCTAATTTAAATGGTCCAATCTAAGATTTTCCTTTTTTTCTTAATTATTTTCAGTTGTAGATGGACACATTACCTTTATTTTATTTATTTATTTTTATGTAGTGCTGAGATTTTAATACCAGTGCCTCGCATATGCTAGGTAAGAGCTCTACCACTGAGCTACAACCCCAGCCTGCAATCTAAGATTTTTTGACTTTTCAAGTTATAGCTGAAACAAACAGCAAAAAAGAAAGGATTTTTTTTTTAATGGTTTCAGTACAGTATTCAGTAAATTACCCAAGATACTCATCATTTTATTACAAAATGGGCTTTGTGTTTGATGATTTTGCCTAGCTACAGGCTAACGTAAGTGTTCTGAGCAAATTTAAGGTAGACTAGGCTGAACTAGGATGTTTGGTAGGTTAGGGATATTAAATGCATTTTTGACCTAACAGTGTTTCCATAATTCCATCGTCAGTTGAGGAGTATTTCCCCTCTCCTTTTTAATAGTAAGTTTAGAATTATGGTTGTGACCTTACCTACCCAGCTTGATTATTTCTCAGAGGTTGAAAACAAAGAAATTTTATTGTGCTGTTACTACTACTACAAAAGTTATATTCATGAAACTTTTTTTTTTTTTATATGGTCCCCTCACCCAAACCATCTGTATATTTGTTCTGTACTTTATTTTTTAACTTAAGAAAAGTATAGTGGACATCTTTCCATGCTAGTACATGCATCTCTATATCTTTTTTTTTTTTTTGTATTGGGTAAGTGAATCCATGGGCGCTTAACCATTGACCACAAACCTTTTTTGTATTTTATTTAGAGACAGGGTCTCACTGAGTTCCTTAAGGGCTCACTAAGTTTCGAGGCTGGCTTTGAACTAGTAATCCTTCTGCCTCAGTCTCCTGAGCCTCTGGGATTATAGGCATGTGCCACCACTCCTATCTTTACATGATTTTTAATTGTCACTGTATGTCTGCTGTGTGCTATCATTGTACTAGTTCAAACAAATTATTAAACACGGTTGCCATTACCTGAAATATTTTAAAAGGTTCTATCCCCACAGGTAGTTAGCAAGCCATATATTATAAGCAGGCCCTGATCAAAAATGGTATTATTATAATTGGTGTCAAATGATAGTCCGCAGAATTGGCACTATGTGATCCCTGACCCCTTTTAGTAACCAGATCAATCATCTCGATATGAATTTTGTTTTTTATTATTGCTCAGTCTTTTTTTTTAATTTGTTTAAATTGGTTGCATATGACAGTATGATGATCTCGATATGAGTTTTTGACTATTAAGGCAGTTCAAAAGAATTATGACTCAGGTTCTGTAGACAGTTCCTAAGGGAACTCCAAAGAAGTTTGAACAGTGACAGAAATGTTACAAATATATGGTCTTCCAGGAGAGTTGTTTTGATGCTACTTTGGTTATATTTGTTTAAAACAAAGCAAGGTCAAGTCAGTTTTATATATAATAGTAGTAACTACTATTATAAGTATCTTCTGTTTGCTAGACGAAATATATATGTATATATTTATGCATAAACTTCATGACAGTTTGAAAAAGTCACTATTATCCCCATTTTAAAAGAGGTGAGAATACTTGGGGAAGAAAAAATAATTTATCACAGTTATGTTTGTTGAAGGCCTTCAAGATTCACATCTTAGGATCACCTCACTCTAGAGTCTATATGCTTTGCACTATACTTTCATGACTCCTGTGTTTGAAATTTTAATTACAATGCACACAAAACTCTTAGGCCAGGTACAGCAAGTACCTGTCAGATATGGTGGGCAATGCTGTTAACTGAATGTAATAGTAATTGTACAGTGTAACTAATTTGAAGTCACTTTTATTCTAGTTACCTTTGAGATTGATGGAACCTGGTCAAGTCCATTGTGATTATTGTGTTTTTTTTAAATACAGAAATAGCACAAATTATGACAAAGTCTTGACAGACTTTGAGATGTTTGGAGGATTTATCAGAGAATGCCTTGCATCTCTTCGTACATAAACATAGGATGAAAATGAAATAGTTCTATTTTAAGTGTTTTTGCAGTAAGGCAAAATCAACCATCTTCTTTAAGACTATCATGAGGGACTGGGACTGTAGTAGCTCAGTGGCAGGGCACATGTAAGGCACACTGGGTTTGATCCTCAGTACCACATAAAAATAAACAAGCAAAATGAAGGCATGCTGTTCATCTACAACTACAAAAAAAAAAATTAAAGAAACTATCATGAAAGTTTTTGTGTTCTTGCTTGTCAGTTTGTGTTACTTCTCTTTTGTTTATGTATTTTCCCCTTAACTTTATTTGAACCTATTTTGTGATGATGGGGATTCTGACCATTTATACCTCATATAAGGAGAAGAGCATCTTTCTTGTGGCTCACAGGAAAGATCCTACTGGGATGGATCCTGATGATATTTGGCAGCTGTCCTCCAGTCTCAAAAGGTAATGACGGTCCTTATAAATTCTTAAATCCTGGTGTTGTATTTGCCCCATGGTGTCATCATTATTAACAACAAATATTGTATGTGTGTTCTATGCAGATCATGCATAGTGCTGGTGATGTAAAATGAAGAAAGGGATGTGAATGATCTAAAAGGTTTTTCCTAACATTGCAGTTCTGAGATTGGGTTATCACAGAAATCCTCTGAGGATAAACTAAGAAAATACTTTAGTGAAAGGATAAAGAATTTATCCTTTGTGACAAGTTAACAAATGACAAAGGTATGAAATCAGTTATCTTTGGAAAAACCTCTGTTTAGTTTTTGTGCCTTCTATGATCCTGACTGCACTCTAAATGCTGTCAAGAATCTCTGGAACATTGCTCTGTGTGACTTTATAAAATACAGTCCAGAGTCCATGTAAGTATCCAGAATGGAGTCCATGTGCCAGCTCAGTCTGTTTCTCAATGTATGACTTTTGATAAATCATGTAAACGATGTGCCTTTAGTGAAGTCAAAAAGGACTCTTTTAGAGTTGTTGGGAAGATATGATAGCAGTTATAATAATAGCAAATGTCTATTATACCAGTCACCATAATAGCAAATGTCTATTAAACATTCATTGTTTTTCAGGTATTGTGCTAAATAGACTTTAAAACATATGTTTATAGATAAGAACACAGGTCCAAAGGTTACATTAATTTTTCTAGCATCATGTAATCCAGAAGTCATGCCTTTGTCATTAACTAAAAATACATGGTATACAAAAGTAGTTCCTGAAGTTACAATTATTCACATATATGAAGATAACAGCATCAGCACCAAATAAATGCTCTCTTTCATTGCTGATTTGTGAAGATGTCTATGAAGAAGGGGAGCAGACCTTCATTCTGATGTTATAGCTGAGTTCTTGCTTATCCTTGGAGCAGGGCTTCTAGCTCTTTTTTTACTCAGCTGTGAATCTTAACTTCTTCCCAGGCCACTGAAGAAGAGTTGCATAATTTTAGAATCTGGCAACATCTTGATTTCATTATTTTTATTCTGACATGTTTTTTTTTAACAGCCTTATTGAGATATACTTCACCTCCATATAGTTCACCCAAAGTGTACATTTTATTAGTTTATAGTGTATTTACAATTATTTGCAATCATTACCATAGTCAACCCTAGAACATTTTCATTACCTCAAACAAAATCCTGTAACTTTTAGCTATTATCTCCTTTTTCTCCATTTCCCCCCAACCTTAAGCAATATCCGATTACTTACTTACTATGTAAATATTTTCTATGAACATCTAATGTGAATTAAATTTTAGAATGTATAGCCTGTGTGGCCTTTTGTGACTAGTTTCTTCATTTAGCATAATGTTTTCAAGGTTTAGGCACATTGTAGCATTCTTCAGTACTTCATTTCTTTTTAAAGGTTGAATAATATCCCATTGCAAAGATATATCACGTTTTGTTTACCCATTCATCAATTAATGGTGACATTTAGGTTGTCAGCACCTTTGGGCTATCGTGAATATTCTGCTGTAAAATCTGTGTACAAATTTTTGTGTGGATATGCTTTCATTTCTGTTGGAGGGGAATTACTGAATCATATAGTAATTCTTTAACTGTTGGAGGAATTGCCAACCTGTTTAACAAAGTAAGTGCACCATTTTACAGTCCCACTAGCACTATATTAAGGTTCTGATTTTTCTGTACTCCCTTCTCATTTTTGCCATATTGTTGGTGGAGAACATTCTCTGTCCTCCCAACTTCTTCTAGTAGTTTAATAGTTCCTGGTTCTGACATCTTGTTCCATAACTGCCCTATGGAATGGCAGTGAAAGGTTTCACAGACCACCATTTGCCATCTTCAAATTTATACAAGCTTTGTGACTTGTGTAAGAATTCTGCAGTTTACTTGCTTCTCAGCACATTTATTAAATACCCTGAACTCCATTAGCATGTGCAGTCTTTCAGCATCTGTCCTTCATGATATCTTTTTGTGCCCCTCTCAAAACATGTATTTTTACTCTAGCAATATCATGGAGTTTTTAATTTGCTGAGTTTTCCAGTTGACCCTGTGCCTTCAATCAAGATTGTCTTCTCTGGGTTGATTATCTGTCACCTGCCTCCTACTTGTTATCCTCCTAAGGAGTCTTCCCTGACATAGCTTAGTCTGGGTTAGGTACACCTAGGTATTCTTGAGTGTCTTATGCTTATCTCTGTTACCCTGGTCATTTGGAGCTATATTACTTATCTTTGTCTCCTCCTAGACCCTCCTCCTTTGCAGTGTGAGCCCCTTTACCATTCACTACATACTAGATACTTAAGCCAAGGCAGGGATTGTCTCAACTTTAGGTCCTCGGAGCTAGCTTAGGGCCTAGCACAGTTTAGATGTATAGAAAGCTTTATTGTGTGAATGACTGAAATGTACTTGAACTTGGCTGCAGCCTTGACCTCCTAACCTGCAACCAAGTCATTGTCAGCACCCACAAATCCCCTATGTCTAGTTTCCTCTCTGAACATTCCCTTCTCTTTTTGGCCCTAAATGAAACCTGACCATAACCTCTGAAGACATATTTCTCCTGCATGCTACAAGTGGTGACTGATGTTTCATAGCATTTGTTACCCATGTGCTAGAGAAGGGAGCAGGTTTTCCCTTTGCTGCTTTCAATTCATCCTTGGTCCCCCTCCCTAAAACACCAGCTTTAACTGCATGTTCTCACATTTGCCCATTCTTATCTTCCTCATTGCAGTTAAATGCAAACTTACTCTTTCTTGATGATAACTTTTTGTCCCTTCCTAAGTCTTGGTGATCTCTGTGTCCAGATAGGTAAATTTTTTTCCAGTACTGTGACCTCTCTGTTTTACTTTCCTCCACTAATTACCTTGTTTTCTATCGTGTCTTAAACACTTATTTCCATGGATATGCCCTAGAAATTTCCATAACTAATTACTTCCAATAATTTCCATTTTAAATATTCTACTCTTTGACCTGTGCTTCTTGGTTTTTGTTTTTTTTAAGTTCTTCTGCATCTCCATTCTAAAAGAATTTTGGATCATTTTGACTCAAGTTTCTCCAGTCTGTCAACAAATCTGTTAACCCTACTGTGTAAATGTATTCAGTCTGTCCATTTGCCATCTCCAATGCTACCATCATTTCCCACTTAAGTTACTGTAATAATGAATTTCTGCAGCTGCTTTCCCTGCCATCTTTGGAGCTATATTGTTTATCTTTGTCTCTTCCTAGGCCCTCCTCCTTCGCAGTGTGAGCCCCTTTACCATTCACTACATACTAAATACTTAAGCCTAGGCAGGGATTGTCCCATCTCTAGGTCCTCAGAGCTAGCTTAGGGTCTGGCACAATTTAGATGTATAGAAAGCTTTATTGTGTGAATGACTGAAATGTACTTGAACTAGTCAAACTGATCCATCTGAAACGTCACATCACCTTAGTCTTCAGCTCAAAACTCTTATGCAGGGAAAAAGCTAACTTTCTAACTGTGGTTTAGAAGTAATATGTATCTATTGTCTGTACCCCTAATCAATGGTTGTCATTCTCTCCCACTTCATTGTGTTCATCAAGACCCTTTTCTACTCTTTATTCCTGATATGTTCTGTCTAAGGGCCTTTGCACTTACTTCCTCTGCACAGGATATCAATTTCTCTGATAGTTCATTCTCTTGCCTTCTTTGGGTTCTGCTCAAACATTTGCCTAATGAAACTTCCTCCCCTGTTATATTTAAAAGAAAAAAAATTTTTTTTGGTCCCCTCACACACACTATAATGAAAATCCCCAAAAGGCAGAGGTTTATATATATTGTTCATTGCTGTATATTTTTAGTATCTAAAACTAGGTAGTGTTCGATAAATGTTTGAGTTAAGGATAGCTATTTCTAAGATGCATCAGGTTACAACGCATCAGATCATGTCCTGCCATCAAAGGAATGTAACTGCTAATAAAACAGGGCCCAGAAGTCAAAAAATTACTGTGATTCAGTTAACAACAAGTGAATGGAGCTTGAGAAAAATCTTTTGAGGTGATTAAAATAGTTCAAGGGACTTCACTAGTCATTATCCAAGTTGGGATAACGTTCAACGACTTATTGAAGACTTATGCTTTTGGGAGGCTATGGTCAAATAGTAGGTACCATTCTGACTATGATAGTAATCCTTAAAGTAAGTGGAAGTGTTTCTGTTTTAAGCATGCAGAAATAGGTGTATAAGAAACTTCTTCACCTAAGGATAATACCTGCATGATAATCCACTGAATGTGCCCTAATAAGTGGACAGAAGCAGGTGGTGAGGGGGTGTCAGACTACCAGAAAATGGTATCATTAAATCCTCTTAATGGGTGGAAATAGTAAAGACCTTCCTGGTACCTTAAAGTTTAACAGGAATCTCTGGAGTTCATGTAGTAAAGCAGTGAGTATGGAGTCAGTAGAACCTAGAGCTCAATTTTTACAGATTGCAAGGGTTAAGCACCCTAGAATTGGGGAGCCTCCTTGATAGCAAGAGTTTTTTATTCAGAAAAATTTGGTTGCCTATCCAAGTACCATGCTGATAGTAAGCAGTTAAGACAAAAATCCTTGCCCTCAGGAATCTCCCAGTCTAGTGAAAAACACAAATACACATTTCAGTACAGATAATTTTGTTGAAAGCATGGAAGCTATCTTTAAAACTGAATATCATAGGCATTTAGTATTTGAATTGAATATTAATTGATGGTGCTATGGAAGAAGAAAGAGACACGTGTAACCCAGATGAGGGTTTGAGAAGGCTTTTCCAGAATAGTTTTGGGCCCAAGTATAAAGTATTTGCATGTTCCCTATATCACCAGTGCCCACCTTGTTCTTTCAGAAATACTTGGTGCTCCATTATTACTGGTTGCATCTGTGCTCTTGTTTGTTTTTCCCTTTCTCTTCAATTTTAAAGCTTTTTATTATACATGTTTTTAAATATATAGAAAAGTCAAAATAACACAATTCCCATGTGCTTATTTCCCAGTTGCGGTAACTGTCTGCATTTTCCAGTCTTGTGACATAAGCACGTAGAATTTTTTTCTCTTACTGAAATATTTTGAAACAAGTCCTGGATATCATAATCAGTCATCCACAAATAACTTTAGGAAAATACTACCATCACACTTAGAAGTATGCATAATATTTTATAATATCTTCTAAAATGTGTTTGTTTTTGATATTCTGTCTTTTGCCCTGATGCTTAGGTTTGATGATAAATATACACTGAAACTGACCTTCATCAGTGGGAGAACAAAGCAGCAGCGGGAAGCCGAATTCACTAAGTCTATCGCCAAGTTTTTTGACCACAGCGGGACACTGGTCATGGATGCATACGAGCCTGAAATATCCAGGCTCCATGACAGTCTTGCCACAGAAAGAAAAATAAAATAGCCAATTCTAAAAGCAGCCCTCTTTCTGCTGGATCATGCTGAATTACTGGATGGGTGGGGGAAGAAACAGAACTTAAAATGGGTAAAGTAAGAAATGTTTAAAATGTCCCTTTTTTTGTCCTGAAATTTTAGTCTCTTCTGGAAAAATAGGATTTTCTAGCACAGATACGAGAAGTTGTAGCTCTTATTTCTAGCTGTAGCTTCCTTGGTCTGCTGATTGTGTTGTTTTGACTTGCTTTGGAAAAGCATTCTTGCTAAAAGCTGTATAAGACTTTTTTTTTTTTTTATGTAGTAGTACTTTCTATAGTATAGCTTTGTGCCATGCAGCATTTGAAGACTCAGTTTTAAAAAATTGTTAACCTGTTGCTGACTTCATGTTAATTTCTGTTTCAACAACTGTTTCCTGAAGAATTCAGGATGCAACTTCTTGTGTATGACAGCTTTCCTCACACACCATTTTTGTGGGTGTGTATATATCTGACTTGGGGAAACTACAAAAAAACCCACAAAATATAGCTTTTAAATTTGTCTAAAAAGACCTGCCTGTTAAACATTTTGTGTTCTTAATCAATTGAAGAAGCCAGTGGCATTTTTAATTTTATATTGTCTGTTTTCCATAGTATATCCCTGTTGATTTGTTTGCGACCTTTATTAATTGCCATTTTCTAAAATTTTTTTTCAATAAAAGGAAAGAAGATGTGAAAAAATGAGTCATAGTCTTGATGGAAGGACCAGAGCAGCAAGTGTTATTAGTTTCTCTACTACTGTAGAGTTTTTTTTCATTTACAGGCTGTTTAACTATTCATAGAGCCCTGAAAACTCATAACTGAGAAACTCGTAGCTCTCTGGTAAGAATAATAAGGACACTCATTACTTGGTCCCAGGAAGTGTTCCAAGTACCTTACATGTATTAACTCACTAAAGCCCACGGTACTTCTAAGAGGTAGGTACTTTTATTATCTCTGTTTTGTAGATGAGGAAGCTGAGACATAAAACTTGAATTATTTGTCACACAACACTTAATAGATCCCATTGTAGCACCAGAGTTTGTGTTTCTACTATAACAAAAGAGCATCACCAGGGAGTATTGATGCATGCCTGTAATCCCAGCTACTTGGGATGCTAAGGCAGGAGGATGGCAAATCTGAGATCAACCTGGGCCATTTAGTGAGGCTCTGTCACAAAATAAAAAGGCTCGGTGCTAGAGCACTTGCCTAGCCTAGCATGTGTGAGGTCCTGGGTTTGATTCTCCATCATACACACACACACACACAAAACAAATTTTTTTGCAGTATTTCTGCAACCTAGTTCGAGAAGAGTTCAGCCTTTCCTAGATCCTATGACCTTTAGGAATATTGTTCCTCCAGCTTTAAAAAAGTGCAGTTCCAACTACACTTAGTACCACTAAGGAGAGGGTCACCAGTGTTTTTCGTTATTTACAAATTTCAGTTGCTAATGCATATTTAGTGTTTGTAATATTTTTGTTTATTTTTTAGAAACAGTATTTTCTGCTTCAGAAAAACCTTGGGAAATAAAAGATGCAGATTCTATTTGCGTACACACAAAGTTGTATTTCTTTTGAACTGAGTTCCTTCTCCGGTTAGAGCCCTCTCACCAACTCTACCTTATATCCACCCAGACTAACCACATTGTACATCCCATTGTCTCCTTGATGGAAATCATCTAAGAAAGCTGCATTGTCACTGATTTTATTGAATATATCCTGTCCCCATTATCAATCTTCTCTGCTATTAAATAGAAAACCCAGCTGAAAGAACATTATGTGCAGGTAACTCCTCTGATGTCCATGCTACTTTAAAAATCAACGGAGATTCTTATAAACTTTTTTTAATGCCATGGATCTTCTTGATATTCTTTTCTATGGTCCACTTATCAGACTGATGTTTTGAATGCTTAAATTTAACATTGCATGTTAATGAGGAATTAGAGAACTGGTTACTGGCTGAATAGTGGGAAATAACTTGAGAGATCGCTCTGATTTGGATCTGAAATGTTCGCTGAAGGCTCATGTGTTGAAGGCTTGCTCCCCAACCTATATTACTATTATTGGAAGGTGGTGGAACTTTTAGGAGGTGGCGCCTACTGGCAGGAAGTTAGGCTATTAGGCTATTACAGAGGCCATTCCTCTGTATTCTTTTGGCAGTAAACTACTTTGTGGTTAATTGGAGGGGATACTGGACCCTGCCCCAAACTTGTGAAGAAGTTTGCTCCCTTGGTTCCCTTCCCATGGTTTTCTGCCTTGCCACAGACCTAAAGCAGCAGTGTCAAATGACCATGAACTAAAACCTCTGAAACTGAGCCAAAATAAATATTTCCTTCTTTAAGTTTGACTTATCAGTTATTTTATCACAACACAGAAAACTATCAAAGATAATTGCTCAAAAGATGCCCCTTTTTGTTGTTTGTTTTTAACTCCTCTGATTAGGAGGACTTCCTGATTAATCTGGCAACCAGCCTCATTTCTGCCCCATTTTAATTAGTTACATATATATAGAGAGAGAGGAAAAAGACAGATGCAGACATGCACTTACATGAGCCTAAGAAGAAGGGAAGAAACTAGGTATGTAAGAAAGAATGGCAACTTTGAGCTGTCTTACAGCCAGCTTCCTATAGTCTGTCATGCCAGCCTCAGACCTGTGCAGACACAATAGTAAAGGCCTCAGAATTTTTGGCAGTGGATCTTGGTTGACATGAAGGAGCTTTGGGCCTTACAGGGAGATTTCTCTGAAACAGACTTTTCTGGGAAATCACTGATGAGGAGTGAGTAGTATTTGGTCACCAAATACTGGATTATGTGACCTTGGAGAAAAAGGAACTGAGAAAGGTAATGCATGAGGCCTGAATGTCCCTGAAGAGTCTTGCTTTGTATGAAAGCAACGTGTCACTGTCTTCCTAGGCCATTCCTCTGTATTCTGTTGGCAGTAAACTACTTTGTGAGCAGGGTTTTGCACTGTTTACTATAAAAGGGTTGAGTCTACAACATCAGGGTCTGCCCGTAGAGGAATTCATCTAGGCCCATCTGTGGCACTTTTGGGAATGGGAGTCATGGGGAACTGGCACAAACATTATGTTCATGTTTCTTATTGTACTATAAGTAATAAAGTTTTTTTTGTCTGATCCAGGAGTCTCTTGTCTTCTGCTAATATCATGAAAGAATAGCAGTCTAACTTACTAGCTTGCAAGTAGGATAAAATTCTAGACCCTTTATAACCTCTGAAAGTTTTATTAACAAGAGTGGTATCTGGCTGGTTAGTGGCACGTGCCTGTAATCCCAGTTGCTTGGGAGGCTGAGGCAGGAGGATGGCAAGTTCAAAGCCAACCCATCTCAGCAACAGCAAGGCACTAAGCAACTCAATGAGACCCTGTCTTTAAATAAAAAACAAAATGGGGCTGGGGATGTGGCTCAGTAGTCAAGTGCCCTGAGTTGAATTCCTGGCACACTTCCCCATTCCCCCACAAAATGGTATCAGAACATGTGGTTTTCAAAAGGAGAAAGGACAAATGTCTTCATAGGCCAGGTTAGGGGATATAAGGATTTTTGGGATCTGGTAGCATATGCTGTCAAGTGAAGGGAGCAGTAAGAACCACCCCCCCATTCCCGCATTGTCCAATTACTCTCTTGAGGCTAAGCAGAAAGAGGTAGGACTGAAACACTCCCCAAATAGTTCAGCCTTCTTCCCCAGCTTCTGGGCAGGAGGTGGAAAGAATGTTCTGATAGTGAGGCAGCAAGCCCAAGGGCCCAGCTGAAAGGCCTGTGCTAATAAGTAAAGTGTTACCCAAAGTGAAGTAAATGATTGCCTCAATAAGGATTTAGAGCCCCAGACCAAAAACATGAGACAGTTGAGTCCAAGCAGGTAATACAGGGCCTTGCCTACTGACAAAATTATTCTCTCCCTTTGTATCTCTGATCCCTTTTTCTGTTGGTTTTTTTTTTTGGGGGGGGGTGGAGACTTCACTCCTTTTATAGCTCTGTCTGTTGAATATAAATGTTCAAGTCACCATATTACTTGATCTCATGGGGGTAGGAAGCCCTGTGCATTGGGGAGATTTAAAAAAAATGCCAACAACTATAGGGCAGGTGCTCAGTGTGTCATACAGGAGAGCAAAAAACAAAAGGAGCCTCTGAGGCCTTTGTTTCAGGTACAAAACAGGAAGAGGCAGCACTGGCCTTCCCATTAGCACAACCGTCCCCTACAGGCTAGCCCTCCTATCCCTTGATGTGCCCCCGTACCTGGCTGGGGCCTCCAGCATACCTATTGTCAGTTTCTTTTTTTTCTTTTTTTTTTTTTTTAAAGAGAGTGAGAGAGGAGAGAGAGAGAGAGAGAATTTTTAATATTTATTTTTAAGTTCTCGGCGGACACAACATCTTTGTTGGTATGTGGTGCTGAGGATTGAACCTGGGCCGCACGCATGCCAGGCGAGCTCGCTACCGCTTGAGCCACATCCCCAGCCCCCTATTGTCAGTTTCTTGATTTGGGTTCCCATGCTGGAGAAACACCTCAATTCAATGATAGATTTTCTAAACTTGATCAGTTTGTAATAGGAAGGGAAATTAAAATGACTTGTGCCTAGAGTCACCAAACTGTTTAATGTACTGCTGGTTTATGGCTTTTGTATCAAAGTGTGCTATTGATACCAATTATACATTTGATGGAATGCTTTCAGTTTCCATTCAGAGACTACTGCACAAAGGTTGGTGTAGTCTATTGGAAATAATATAGAATCCCAAGAGGAAAAGAGAAAAATCAAACTTAGTTGAAAACTCAGCCACTCCTGCAGTACTCAAATCTTTCACAGTATGGAGGGGCTACTTGGTGCTTTGCAGTCACTATATAAGCCTTTTAAGAAAGGTTGCTATTGAGCTTTTGTTGAGACAACATCTAACCTTGTAACTCTGGTCTAACATCCCTATTTTGGGCCAGGCTAATGCAGACTTTAATCAAAAGATCCAGCAGGCTTCCCTAGTCAGGTTAAAATGGTGTATGTGGGGATATAGTTAGCCTGGTCATTTTAGTTTTTCTTGAAAAAGTAATAAGCTGGGCATGGTGGTACATTATCTACAGTTCCAGCTACTAGGGAGGCTGAGAGCAAGAATGGCTTGAGTCTGAAGAGTTGGAGGCCAGCCTGGGCAACATAAACCTCATCTCCAAAGATAAAAACCAAAACCAAAATTTAAACCATGTACAGAACATGCCCATTATCTCAGCTACTGAGAAGCCCAAGGCAACAGGAGGATCACAAGTCTGAGGCTATCCTGGGCAACATTGTGAGGTCCTGTCTCAGAAGAAGTGACAGCTACTCCTTTGGAAAAAACATGTATTTCCCAATCTGTCAACCATGGTAAAACCACTGACAAAACAGAGCCCTCAGTTTACAGAAACTTCTCTAACCAAATACCTTGGTCTGGTTCACTAATGGTCCAGATAAGTTAAAAGACAATGGTGTCCTGTGACAATTTGCAAGACCAGCCATGATAATAACATAAGCACAATGGGCTAAATTAAAAGCTGCTATCCTTGCCTTAGTATTCCTAGGGACCAGATCGGTTTTGTTTTTATTGACTCTTGGGCCATTGCCAGTGGTTTAATCTTATTTGCTACTTGGAAGGCTAAAAAGACTGTCAAAGACAATTCTTTTTTTTGGATCCACACACTGGAAATGAATTTCAGCTGTTAACTGAAATGTCTAGGTCTCATGTAGATACCTACAGAGAGGCCTCATTCTCAGAGCAAGATTCATGAAAATGATTTGAGTATAAATGGTCTATGAGATATGCAGGGAGCCCCATAAGGAAGTGAAAAAGTGAGAGGGAAGAGAAGGTGGTCAATAAAGGGAACATTATCAAGCAAATTTACCACTATGAGGAACTGGATCTCAATTTTGCTGGAGAGTTGTACAAAAATATTTCCATCAAGATTATCAGACTTGAGGAAGCTGGTGTGATCAGATGCTCAAATTCCTGAGAGACACTGGATCAGTACCACCGGTGGATATGATTTCTTCAACATTTTCAGTTGCATTTATAGTTTATAGTCTATAATATATAGACTCTTATTTTTTTTAATATTTGCTTTTTTTAGTTTCATGTGGACACAATATCTTTATTTTTATGTGGTGCTGAGAATCCAACCCAGTGCCTCACGCATGCTAGGCGAGCCACATCCCCAGCCCCGGTAGACTCTTATTTATGAATTTCATTTCAGGATAGTAAAATGGTTGTTAAAATATAAGAATAATCTATAAGAGACTGACAAAGTTGTTTTACTTTTAGGGGACCAGCAATGTCTCTAGGCATCTGTGGCTTCAGCCCTTATCATTTCTTGTTTCCTGTTTGTTTCACTTCCTGCCCACTGGGGATTTTCCTCTCTTTCAACCTAAGTTGTGATCTTTAGTATGAGAACAACAGGCAGATTGTTGCAGAACTTTAATAGGTTTGAACCTTCAGTTTTAGTGTATGCAACCCCAGGGCTGCAAACATCCCAGAATACTGTTTACCAATTCCAGTGACAGAACTTGGAGAATAGAATGAAAAGGTTTTGGACATTTCATTACTCACTCCTTGGTGGCAGTGAGCCAGGATACAAAATATTTGAATGAAGATTATTAGACTTGAGGAAGCTGATGTGATCAGATGCTCAAATTCCTATGAGACACTGGATCAGCACCGCTGGTGGATATGATTTCCATTTTCAGTTGCATTTTCATGTTATGCCTACAAGCAGGGGGAATATATAGGACAGGTTGCATGCCCACTGAACAGGTAGATTCTTCAGATATTTCATGAGTATATTCTTTTACTTTACAATCAAAGTCATTGTTTAGATCCTTTCTTAAAGATTGGAGAGAAGGAAAATGGCCAGCTCCACCTTTTCATTTTCTTATCACATTCTTTTAGAGATCTTATTTCACTGCAAGCTTTGATAGGCACCAATTAGTGTTTGCCCTTGGAAGCCCCTTCATGTCCCTCACAATCCCAGACTATCCCATGTCTTTCACAAGGACAGGGCTCTGGAGGCACATTTTATCCACATCTTACAACAGATGTACAAAGAGCAAGAACCTACCAGCAAGCATGCTCAGGTAATTAAGAAAGTATTAATTTGTTTAGACACTTGGTATAGATAAGAGATCTTGTTTTAGTCCAGTTCTGTTTTATCCAAGTCCATTCCACCTCATTTCCAGTTCAAACTACCCAGGGAAGTCTTTGCACTGCAGTCACCGGGAGTTCTCTGTAGAACCAATAATCAATCTAGTTGGTATGATGTGCAACTTCTGTTGCCCAATTCAGGGTACTTGTTGCTAACATTTGGAGAATACGACAAATGTCTAATAGACAAAAATAATGGCAGATCAGCTCTATGAGGCAGTACATAGGCTATTGTATGATCTTGTATTAGTAAAGCAGCCTGCACAATAGGCTTGCCAAGGCAAGTGTACCCTACCATTCTATTTGCTCTTTAGGGGGAATATGTAAATGCCATAAACTGATACAAAGTGTTCCTCGGTGATGACACCCTAGGGTAACATCACCTGTACTTGTGAGGGCCAGGTTCCCAATACAGTAGGCTCTACTTGTAAATCTAGATATTCCCTCCCTGCAAGGAGTCAATAAGGCATACGACTGGAGGTGTACAGTCAATGGCCAACTAATGACTTCTTGTCTATGATGTGATGTCTCAAGGAATTGGCAGCAGTAAATTATTCCTTGTGCCCCAGGCTGGTTTAAAAAAATATTCAGCAGAAGTGTCCTTTATTTATAATGTTAATGCTGGTGGTCATGGAGGAGATAATTGACATAACTATAGGCTACTGATGTCTGAGTTTCTCATTTAGTGTCCTCTGTGCCTCAGGCAGATGAACAGACATCCCTGCATAGTTATTCTCAGTCCTTAACACTTGTTTCAGCAGCCATTCATTCTTTAAATGAATCCAGCTCCTGTTGGATTGCAAGGCATGGAAAATCCATAATATCTCATGGTCTTAAACCCACTTGATGGCCTATAAATGAGTTCCTTGTTCACTCAATTACCTGTGGTCTGCCATACATGGAACTCAGCAAGATCAGTCCCTTAGTAGTTGTCTTCTGATTGGCTCTTTTGCTGGAGAAGACTTGCATC